GACTGACGAGTCGGAGGTGGACGCGGAGGGTGAGGTTGATGTTGATGTGGAGGCGACACCAGTGCCGGTCAGGAGCCACAAACGCAAGGGTAGCAAAGCTCGGGGACGGTCCAGGAAGGGTGCTGCTGAAGTTATACAAGAGCCCGAAACCAGTCGACCGTTCAAGAGTGTGCGGCTGAGGATCACTTCTCCCGTTCCACCCCCACCCCCACCCCGACAGCCGTCGCCGTCGCCGCAGCCATCACGGCCGATGATCCGTCTGAAATTGACAGCGAGGACAGCGAAGGGGAAGGAGCGAGAAGAGGAACCGGAGGAGTTGAAGAAGGGAATGTTCGACGACTTGCTAAGCGCAGAGGATAGGGATATCTCACAAACGAACGTCTCGCAGCTGGACAAGATGCGGTTTGACAGGAGTCGTCTTGAAGCAGAGGTGCGTGTCGTATGTTGTGGTCCTGTCGGTACAATGCAAACTGACGTCATCCTTAATTCCCAGCGCGCCGTGTACCCTCCGAAGCCTCCGTCTGCATCGCTTGAACCACCAGAAACACCAATAGCCGGTCCATCCAATCGTCCTCTTCGTTCCGCGTATATTCAACCGCCTCCATTGCCCACCCCTGGTCTCTCAGAGTCCCCTGCTCCTTCCACACCCGACTTTTCAAAGATACATAGCGCACCACATCAGCGGATACGCTCTATTCGCTTTGGGGAATTCGACATTCAGACATGGTACGATGCTCCGTTCCCAGAAGAGTATGCGAACCTTCCGGATGGAAGATTGTGGATATGCGAGTTTTGTCTCAAGTACATGAAGAGCCAGTTCGTAGCCAGTCGGCATCAGGTACGCCGCAATTCGCTTTTGCGTAACGATGGTATCGATGTTCATTCTTTGCTCTTGACCAGATGAAATGCAGGATGCGGCATCCACCTGGGGACGAGATCTATCGCGACGGCTTCATATCCATATTCGAGGTGGACGGACGGAAGAACAAGATCTATTGCCAGAATCTGTGTCTGCTCTCGAAAATGTTCCTGGACCACAAGTCGCTGTTCTATGACGTGGAGCCCTTTCTTTTCTATGTCATGACAGAGGTGGACGAATCAATAGGCTCGCGATTCGTTGGGTATTTCAGTAAGGAGAAGCGGAGTCCGAAGGATTACAACGTTAGTTGTATTATGACTTTACCTGTACGCCAACGGCAGGGCTGGGGAAACCTGCTCATTGATTTCAGTGAGTGTTTTTACTCATACAAAGTTCTCAAGCTCAACCGGGTTGCAGGTTACTTGTTATCCAAGAAGGAGCAACGGACAGGGTCACCGGAGAAGCCTCTATCAGCTCTCGGTGCCCTGGGTTACCGAAATTACTGGACATTGGCACTGATGCGTTATCTTCGTGACGCACCGAGCAATCCCCGTCTTGAGGGTATGTAACACTGAACATAGATTACTCCGAGTCGGTTTGGCTAATGCGCATACAGACATCTCCCGTGCCACGTCAATGACCATCGAGGACATCTACGTTACCTTGCAGCAACAACAAATGATCTTCGTGCGAGACCACACACCTCCGTCCCGTCCACCACCTGGGAAGGCCATCAAGCTCTTCAAGGGAAAGAAGAACGGTATCGCGCGCAAGCACCTCGTGCGCACGACAACCCAAGATGTCGAACAGGGTCTGACCAAGGCGCCGTTCGTCGCTCCTCAGTCATACGACATCGCCTGGGACCCTGAGGTCGTTGAGGCGTATATGTCCAAGTGGGAGGCGAAGGGCTACTTCAAGCTGAAGCCTGATTGCCTCAAGTGGAGTCCGTTTTTAATCGCTCGCACCATGAAGAGCGACGGACTTCCCGAGGAGGGCGATCCTTCCATTGTCCAAGAACCCTTGGAAACTCCTTCGATGGAGTCCCCGCCTGATCTCAGTGATCTGAACGGCGGCGTCACACCCAAGGCAGGGTTGTCCTCGAGGGCGAGGTCGAGGAGGACGCCAAGGAACCGTTTGGATTCTGCGAGTGCAGCTCCCTCTCCCGCGTTGAATCTTTTTGACGAACCTGTCGGAGAGGTGGAAAGTTCGGCGCCCCCTCCGGATCCAGACGAACTTCCGTCTCTGCCTCCGGCCAGGCCAAATCTGAGGCTTTCCATGAGGGAGGAGGAGGAGGAACCTGTGAGAGCATCCAGCAGGAGGGGGAAGCAGTGGAAAGCGCGGCAAGAGGAAGAGGAGGAAGAGGAGGAGGTTGTGTTGAGACGGAGCGGGAGGAAATCAACTGTTGTGTCCATGTCCACATCGCCTTCCCAGAAGTCAAACGAGACCCCATCAAAGTCCAAGGGCCGTTCTCGAAAGACGCGGACAAATTCGACGAACGGGCACTCACAGTTGAACGGTGTTTCTCCCTCGGAGGCGGATCCCTCCGAGCCCCACGACGAATCCATGATTGCGGACGATGAAGCATTTGCAATGCGGCTAGCTATGGAAGAAGGTGGTCCTCGGCGGCAACTGCGTTCCCGTTCCAACACTTCTCAAGAGGTCAGGACCATCCCACAGATCCGTCCCACCCCGAAACGAGCTATCCCACCACCCCCGACGCCACCCTCCCAGCAACCTCCTCGCAAACGCAGGCGTGTTGACCCTTCTCCTGATCCTCCGTCCTCCCCTCCGCCCCTGCCGCCTGTACGCCGACGGACGTCGACCACGAACTCCCGGAAACTCTCTCAAGTGTCTACGTCCACACCCCCGACGCCTGTGTCACCCAATGCGACCTTCAATGCCCGCCAGCGGCGTTCATCGCGGCTAACGAATGGAGGACCGGCGATTGACGTCACCCCGCCTCCGGAATTGCGAAGAACCCGGAGCGGTGCTTTGAGGCGAAGGGTCCAGTCACCCGTTGATGAGGATGAAGACGAAGGTGACACTGCTCCGGTCGTGTCTCAGTCTGATTCTGCGGTTGTGCCTCAACCCCTGGATGCTGGTGGTCTCTCTACGGCGGCGGCGGCGTCCGCTGACGACGTGAAGTGTGAGGACATGGACACGCCTTTGACCGGTGGGAGCCGCCAGAGTGCACCGAGCGACGATACGGTGTTCGTTGCGGAGGATCAGCGTACGAAGGTCACGCCAGTGTCACCCATCGCAGTTGAGGTGCCGGGTGTCGTCGCAGACGACGCGGATGCGGATGCTGAGGGGGAGGACGACATTGATGCGGAGGGAGAGCCTGACGACGGGGACCTCGACGCAGAGGGGGAACCGGACCTGGGTGACGAGGATGCGGAGGGAGAGGTGGATGATGAGTTGGGGGGAGAGAGCGAGGTGGTGATGATGCTTTAAGCTTCAGTTTCGGCTTCTCTCTTTTTTCCATCCATTCTTTTTATTCATTGTAGGCCTAGGGAGGGGGCTCCATGTTGGAATTCTTGTGCATAGCGTTCGTTAAGGTCTTTGTTCATTTTTTTCGCTTGACGGGGGTGGTGGTGAGATGAAGACTCTGGTGTTAACTTACTGGGCGACGGACGACGTCTTCCTTCCATCTTTATGTTGTAGAAATATACTCGTCCATGGAGCTCGCGCACATTCCACCCACCATTCCCTTATTTCTCACTATCTGTTCAACAGCTCGTCCACATCACTTGCGGAATTCTGTACATGTAGCATATGGTTCCTTTCAGTTCTTTCACGTCTGTTCAGATGGGATTTCTTGTCCCAGAATTCAAGGTCGGCAGTAGCTGAAGTAGCTAGAGTATCTTACAGTCCCGGTAATGAAGCCTTTCTTGACGCGAACCATCCCTAACGTGTATTCCCCCAATGACGCGTTGCATTTGATGTTCCAATCTCCAACTATGCATCGTTCAGACCGTTCAGCTTTTCAGGACTGACGTCCGTCTCTGACTCGGGTGCAGCTTTGCCCTTGTACTTCGGCATTTTTCTGACAACCTGAAGTGTCAATGCCACATAACAGTTCGTGGGGAAATATACTGACGCATGATCGTCTGAGAGCTCCTGCATCAATTCGCTGTGGCCTTTGTGGCCAGACCACTTCGGTATACCATCAGGAACTTCCATAACCCTAAGGACACTCGGATCAGCCTCCACTACCGACGGAGTCTACTCATTTTGAAGCACGCACCGCTCTTTGTAGAATATATGCGCGGTGGGCTGAAAATCCAGTGGGACTTTCCCATCTTTAAACTTGAATGAACCTGGATAAGCGAGTACCGTGTTGCGACCTTCGTCGAAGATGGGAGAGCGGCAGACGTCGCAGGACACTTTGCACGGGACGTAGTGCTCGCCTGTCCGTTTTTCGGTGCTGAAGAAATGCAGGCTGTTATTTTCGTTCCTGATGAGCCGAACAGAAGTCTAAATGAGGGGGTGCTCAGTTACGGAGAGACCGAAGATAGACGGGAGTCCCGTTGCGACCGTATTACCTTGGGGAATATCACGGCCCATTGGAAAGGTGCGCCATGCAGGTGTTGGCATTGACGACAATGACAATGCTTTGCATCGACTGGATCACCATGAAATTCGAACGCAAGGTTACCACACCAACACTCGCTATTGAAACATATCAGAGACTGTGGCGAAGAGAAGCTCCTCGAGTCGGACTTACGACATGTACTTCGGCTTGAAGAGACCCCCCTCGCTCTTCCAGTTATACGGCGGCTTGTGGAGAAAGTCCTCCTCACCGTCTCCACCGTTTACGCTCGGAATCTCAGGTCGGCCACGCCATCCTGTATCCGGGAACGGTTTGTTGTCGCCTGCTCTGTGGTGATCCTGAGGCGGAGGATGAGGAACGGCGGAGTGCTCGCCTGGGTGAAACTGTGAGTCTGGGTGGACGTTAGGGTGTATTTTGTGGACGTCGTTGGACATGGTGAGCTGCAGAACTTACCAGGCAGGAGAGTCCTTTCTTGCCAGTGCCAGGTGCCACTTGCCAGTGCTCTGATGTCATTCAACTCACCGACCACAAGTTCACACCGTGGGTCGAAGAGAGAACAGGGTTGCTGATCCGGCCTCGTCTCATCATGGGCACTTGGCACAGTGGTAGCGCGCCTGCTTTGCACCAACACCAGTTGAGTTTGCTTGCATGAGGTCGAGGGTTCAATCCCCTCAGTGTCCATTATTTTACCACGTTTTTCTTCGATGTGGGTTGAAGTGGCGCGAGGGCATACGTTTCTTGCGTGGGCCCTTAGGTGTGCTTGAGGCGAACCGTTCAAGATTTGCAGTATGATCTAACGTGGACAGGAAGGAAGAAACGTGCATGCTTTGTCTCTACTGGGTGTACGTACGCCACGAAGATGCGCAATACCGAATAAACTACTAGTACATAACCATGAGCAAGAAGCGTTGGGAGGGAGGTATTACGGATGGAATGAGGGTATAGTATCTACAAAACCGATTGTCATAAAGCACTCATGAAAGCAAGCGAGAAGGGTGAGTTGGAGGGGGGAAGGGAATAATCCAATGCAAGAACCCAATAAGGGCGAAACAACGAGAGCGAGAGATGATGCATATGCGTGATGATGGATGGAAACTTGTGAAGGTCGAGAAGGGTAGAGTACACATTACGCGTCATGCAATGCTACATATTACAGTGCGAGGGCGTGCATGCAAAATGTACATTGGACGAGACGAGCAGGGGAGATAAATTAAATGCATGGATGGGAGGGTGTTCGGAGTTGTCGTGCCGCGAAGGTGAGGATATCGTGCATCAATGCAGCATCATGCAAGATCGATCTGGTATAGGCTTCAGATAACATATCCTGAGCTTGAGCGTATCTGTGCCACCAGGTAGAGGGTATGCCAGGAAGACACGCGAACACAACGCGTCGCACGGAGGAAGGTCGGATGGGTCGAACTGCACGCTCTGTAGGCCATAAAAACATACCATGTCGGTCAGGCATTCGTATCCCCTCCGATGAAAACATCTGCTTACCGATTTTGTTGGCTACTCAAGCTGAGAAACGGAATCCAGCAAAACTCTTGGTTTGACGAGCACCGTACGCGTCAAGGATCCTGGTTTCACGTCCCTCGGCGGGTCATGGTCTCCAACACCGTTCAAGATACCATTCGTCTTCCCATGCCCGTTCGCCGCTGGAGAATGACCGTTCGTCTTCTTTCCATTCTTCGCACCCTTCGTACTCGCATGTCCGTTGACGGTGCCGTGGCCGTTCCGCGTATCTGAATCGTCGCCGTGCTCGGAGGAATCAGTGCATGCTTTCCGAACGAGCGTCAGGCCGAACTCGACTGTACACATCACTCCGCATTCCTGCTCGGCGTCGGCATCGGCGTACACATCCTCCATCTCGCTTTCGTCGAACGGCTTGCTCCTTGCAGACTCGCCGGGACCAGCAGGTGCTACCCGTGCCACCTCAAAGTCCGCACTCATCACTCCCTCCTTCATCGCCGCGGCCAGGCGTTCCGTCCTCTCAGTGATCCGATGGAGGTGAGCTCCATAATGTGCCAGCAGAGTTTCTCGTGGTAAAGTGGGGAAGTTACATAGACCTATGATGGACAGTAGACCACGAGCGTTGTGGTCGGTGAGGGTCTGGAACGGCGATGCGTTTGAATGGTTTGGGTTGGAGGAGGAAGCCAGAAGACTGCGCGTATGGTTGTACGTAAGAGCGCGCCAACGAGAGGTGGTCGCCTGGGGTTCTGCATCGAGGGATTAGGCATGTATGTGAGGAAACGAGACGGTCGGCGTACCTGTTCTATGCATATGATTGAATACGTGCGACAAGAACTGATCTATCTCCCTCGGCAGACCATACGAGAAACTATCCAACGCCCGACCAACAAGATTGACCTGCCATGCCTGAACCGCGAATTGGACAATGGTCGCTGCATCTTCGGTATGTTCCCTTGACAACAGCCAGTTTGTCATTCCGACACCTATCATTCCAGCGATGAGTGATTTCTGTGCGTTGGTATGTTGGGTTGGTTCTCCTCGGTAAGAGGCAAAGGTCGACGATGGTGATGTGAGCTCGTCAGCGAGGGATGCTGCGAGATGCACGATCTCTGTGTTGAGATCACGGAGGGCTTGGATGAGTTGAGCACCAGACCAATCATCCGTCTTGGAGAGGAAGGATTTCAGGCTAGCCAGTTCCTCCGTTCTCTCCACCAGTGCGTCATGGGTATGGGTATGCAGGGACAACATGGAATCGTATGCATTGCGCAACGCTGCAGGATCCGACGGGGGAACGGCGGGGAACGAGTGCGGAGGGGGGACATAATCTTGCGAGGACATCTTCTTGATAGCCATTCCATCCTCCCTGGATATCTGCAGTTCCCTCGTGAGTTTCTCGACCTGACTCTCCAGCGACTTGATCCTCTTCTGCAGGGCATCGGTCTCGCTCTTGTGCTTCATCACTAACTGCTCTCGCTCAGCCCTCTCCTTCTCTCTTTCCCTCGACTGCCTTTCCCTTTCCCGCTTGTCCCTCTCCTTCCATTCAGGCGGAGTACCTCTGTTACTCGCCACGGCCTCTTGATGCGATGATGCGTTCGGCGCTATAGTTGACTGACTTGGAGGATATAGCGAGGGTATCGGGGAGGATTCACGACAGTGATATGAGGTGAAGCTGTTGTTGTAGGAGGGGTAATTGGAATTGGATGACTGATGGTGGTGGGAGGAGGCAGAGAGCGCCTCGGGGTCGTAAGCGTTCGCAAAGTCGTCTGTGAGTCGGATGGAGGGGAGCAGCCAGTCGATGAGGTTCCAGAGTGAGTTCATGAGCTTGGGTGGTTGGTGTGGTGATTATATAGCGAATGCATTAATAGGTGAAGTCATTTAGAATGCTCAATAGACCAATAGAACCTGGGGGTGGGATGGTGATGACGCAGGAGGTGGCCCGGGATACTGAGAGCCGAGGACGCTGTTGTCGGGGATGGTCTCTGGAGATAAGACAAGGATTGCGGCGGCGGCTGTTGTGATCAGCACAGTTGAAGGCGTTGTCGTCGTGGCATACGATGACGAGGGGAAGAGCTGCGATGCCTCAAGGCGAGAGCTTCCCCAACGTGCGTTCCCTCTCCATCACGAGGCGCCCTCCTCTCTCACGCGAACTTTTTCAAGTTATTCCAGTCGCGTCGCGTCGCGTTCCTTTTCTCGTCGTAACTTCGTGGTTGGTTATGGATATCGAGCAGTCGGTCAAGTATTTGCAATACCACTGTCGCGCATGCAAGTTGCTATGTCATCGATAAGGTATGTTGTCATGTTTCAAAACCCCACTACAACAGTGACATGATCTCTTCGGATATTCACCATATTCATCCGACCCGATAGCCGTGCATAACGCGGACGAGGTGGTCCTATGCTCGATGATGCATATTACCACTTGGATACTGCTTTTCTGGCTGCATTTGCAGACAACCACCGTGAAACACTGGCACAAGTCCACGTGCATGGCGTGGCATCAGATAAAGTATCCGTCAATTGTGGTCATGGAGGATTGCACGGTGAGTACATACGAGGAGTACGCGGTGACATTCTAGACCCATTCCATGTTTAAATCACCAAGGCATGTCTACTCCTGAAGTCGCCACGATGCCAATGACTTTATAAATTCCGTTGTCTCTCGCGAGTTTCTATACCCCACCATGATGGATGGCCCCCTGTCGAAAATCTTCTTTATCTTGGCAAACACCTATGCAGGTCATGTTGCTGTTCGCCCCCCACAAGCACACGCGACCACGACAGAACAAGCAAAGTATAGAGCCCGCGGAGAAACAAGTGACCTCTTATCGCTCATTTCATGGGTCACCGTCCCAGCCTTCATGGTGCGCCTGTCTATCCTCGCTCTTTTAGCGGTCCCATTGATGCCTGAAATCGTAGGTCACAAATGCCGCCTTCGGTGCGTGCGATGCGTACATGGCACTGGCCGCTGTATACCCATCACTCCGTATTTCCGCCCTCGATAGCATTCTCCTTCCCGACCCGTCCAAGCCGCTATCCACCTCCGACTTCTACCTCACTATTCCTTTCGTCATAGGGTCATTGTTTCTCAGTGCTGGCGCACTCCTGCGACAAGCCTGCTACCGTACACTCGGCCGTCATTTTACGTTTCAGCTCTCGCTCCAAAAGGACCATAAACTAGTCACGGAAGGTCCTTACTCCTTCGTTCGTCATCCCTCCTACCTTGGGATGATTATTGCACTGCCTGGAATGGCTGTCGCTCAGCTGTTCAGCTCTGGGACATGGTGGATTCAAAGCGGGATGTGGCACACGTGGCAAGGGCAAATATTCGGGGCCTATTGGATCAGCTTTTTGTCGTATGTGTGTTGGGCATTGCTGTCGAGAGTTCCGAAGGAGGACGCGATGTTGCAGGCGCAGTTTGGGGAGCAGTGGGTGAGTTGGTCGAAGAAGACGCGGTACGCCGTCATTCCGTACGTGTGGTAGAAGGTAAGCGTATGACTTTTTAGGAATGATATGTAGCTGTTTGGCTGACGAGTCGGTGGCAGCAATATTTCGGGGTTGCTTTGCTCTTTTCGAGTCCACTGGTCAGGGTTTTAGGGACAAGATTCCTCTGTCGCAGTGTGACTCCCACGTACGAGCCGTGTCTATCACACTATCTATCACACTATATATAGGATATAGGGTGAACCCCAAGAAGACTGTGCTCGGGCAGCTATCTTGTGCCCACCACCTCCGTTCAACCCTGAAAGTCTTCGCGAGCTATGTCTAGCCATATGTCTTCCATGCAACTTTGTTGGAAAACGTATAAAGGTAGGTCCCGGGTTTTCAACGTCTCTTCTCACTCAAGTTCTTCCTAGTCTACCTCCGCGATCGCATAGTATGAACAGACCTTTGGCCGTCATCCCGTTCATAAGCGCGAACACCTTTGCGGCGTATGTGGCTGTTCGGCCTCCGCGACCCCCGCCGACTGTGGATGAGCAAGCAAAATACAAAGCTCGGAAGGAGATAAGCGACCTGCTATCGCTCATTACCTGGCTTACCGTACCCATTAGTCTGGTATGTTTTTTACACATGTCTCACAGTTGCATGGGGGGCGCTGATCGTTTTACTCATAGAACTTCATCGTGTTGTTCGGTGTATCCGAGTTGTACATGGTCTTATCCGCCACCTACCCCTCCTTCCGCACACCAACTTTGGACACCATCCTCCTCCCA